TAACAAACTAAGGGGTAAGCTGTCAGAAATCAGGAACAAGTGCTCTCACATGGATCTGAAGATCATAATCTTAATTGAAACACGACTACCTGAAATTCTAGACGACGAAGTGAACTTGCCAGGCATGACACTCTTCTGATGCGATAGGAGTGGTTGTATATATAAACAACCATTTAAAAGCCGAGCGGCAATATGACACCCAACTGACGTGACAGAATCATGTTGGTGTTCTTCTCACACATATAGCACGAAACACTTGATTGTATGGATTAACCGACCAACGTCAAGTACTAAGGCCCAAAAAGATAAACATACTGAGGCAACACGGTAACTGCTGCTCCTGGGTTTCGATCAAATACTCTTAGCTGGAGATTTGAAAACCCCATCCCTAAATCTCAGTAGTCAGGATAAAACTCCTTTTGATTGGTTCCAGAGATGATTTGGCTCAGCCATTAGGAGCTCTCAGCTGACTGAGCCTGTATGCAGTGCCACTAGATGGACTAGGGAAGGAAAGTCCTCAAACATGGATTAGTTGTTAACAAATGAGGATGTTCAAGTCCATACACCAATAGGAAGTAGTGACCATGGCACAATCTTGTTTAACACTGCCATAAACGAAAGATTCACTCAGGATGAACACGAACTCCATCTTTGCTACACTAGAGCAGATTACAGGCGAATAAGAGAGATCTTCCTACATGCCCTTTGGCCATTGGAGTGGTGTAGGCTGTCAGTAGATGATCACTATCGAACGGTGATAGACATCCAGAGTTCTGTCCTCAGCAACGTACCTCAGTGACGCCATACACCTGGAAATGGAAGAACATGGGTCAGACACAGCGCTGAACGCTTGCTACAGGTGAAGAGGAGAGCCTGGCACAAGTGGAAGGACCCTTGAGGGATTCTGATCGTAGCCATTACTTGGCATTGACAAACAGATGCGATACCGAAGTTCAAAGTGATAGTAGACTCTTTCGGGTGAAGCTAGCTTTACAAATACAGGCAAAGCCTAAGCATATGTTTAGGTTCGTGACTAAGCCTGCTTTCCGTCCAAAGACATCCATACCTTATGCAACATTAGCAACAGTAGTTGAAGAGTTGGGTCACCTTCAGCGACAAGGAGTTATTAATCCAGTTTCTTACTCTGCTTGGGCAGGACCTATAGTCGTTATCAAGAAGGCCAACGGCACGATACGTATATGTGCTGACTTCTCTACAGGTCTCAACGCAGCTCTGGAACAGCATCATTATCCTCTGCCAGTCCCAGAAGATCTGTTCACTATGCTGAATGGGGGAAAGTTCTTCGCAAAGCTTGACCTAGCTGATGCTTATTTGCAAGTGGAAGTCGATCAAGCATCTAAAGAGCTGCTTACTATCAATACCCATCGTGGTTTGTTCCAGTATAACCGTTTACCTTCTGGAGTTAAGACTGCCCCATCTATCTTCCAACAACTAATGGATACTATCCTATCAGATATCTCAGGCGTTGCAGCTTATCTCGATGATATCTTGATTGTTGCGAAGCAGTTAGAACAGCTACGGGAACGCACGATATTGGTACTACAACGCACCAGTGACAACGCTTTCCGGTTACACCCAGAAAAATGCCCGTTTTTATTGCAGTCGGTAAAGTATTTGGGATTCATCTTTGATGCCGACGGTCGCAGACCAGATCCTGAGAAAACCCGAGCTATCAAACTGATGCCCATTTCCACTAATGTCAAAATTACGATCTTTTCTCGGATTAGTCATTTATTATTCAGCATTCGTTCCCTCGATGCATGATATTCGCGCTCCATTGAGCAGAAGCAGAAGCATAACATATGGAACTGGACTAAAGAGTGTGACGCGGCTTTTGATAAACTAAAGTCCATAATTAGCTCGGAATTGTTATTAACACACTACGATCCATCCATGCCGATCATCGTTGCAGCAGACGCGTCGGAGAAAGTCGTTATGCATGCATCCTGTACACTGAAACCAGCAGAAAAGTACAGCCAGATAGAGAAAGAGGCCGCTGCCCTTGTGTTTGCTGTTCGCAGTTTCCTCAAGTTTATTTACGGTCGGAGATTCACGCTCCTCACAGATCACAAGCCTCTGTTAGCAGTATTCGGTTCTAAATCTGGTATTCCAGCCCATTCTGCAAATCGTCTTCAGCGATGGGCCTTGGTACTTTTGGGGTATGATTTCGAAATCAGATACCGACGCACTCTACAATTCAGTCAAGCAGATGCGCTGTCACGACTTATTACCGGTGTCTACAAGAGACATACAAAATGCTTCTAGAAACGACCACATAATCGCGACGACGATGAAATATGTCACTAGCGGTTGGCCGTCGAAGAAGTTTGAGGGTGACATGAAGCAACTGTATCAGCGGCAGGATTCACTATGCATCGTGAACGATTGTTTGATGTTCGGTGAAAGATTATTGATGCCGGAATCCTTTCGTGCAAAAGTGCTGAGACAGTTCCATCTTGGTCATCCAGAGGTTAAACGAATGAAGTCCATAGCCAGGAGTTGTGCATACTGGCCTCATATGGATCAACATGTCACAGTGTTGGTTGAAAAATGTATGCGGTGTCAGCAGGCGGCAAAGAAGTATGCCGAAACTCAGCCTGTTTCATGGCCCAAACCTGAGCATCCTTGGTTCAGAATACATGTCGACTTCGCCAATCCAATCAATGAAACTATGTATTAAGTTTTGTTCGACGCCTTCTCGAAATGGCCAGAAATCAGTCCCCGTAATGCCGCCCACGACAACTAAGACAATGCAACTCCTTACTTAAATTTTCTGTCAAAATGGCATACCAGATGTGATCGTATCTGACAATGGGTCTCAATTTACCTCTACTCGATTCCAAATTTCCTGTCAACGGCTAGTCATTAAACACTTGCGCTCGCTACCATACCACTCTCAAGCGAATGGGTGAGCGGAAAGGTTTGTGGATAGATTTAAAAGAGCATTAGTTAGGTGAAAAGGGGAGGGGACACTAGCCGACGCGTTGCGAAGTTTCTTGTACGTCTATAGAGCAATAACAAATGAGTTGTTGACGGAGCAAAAGTTCCCAGCAGAAATCCTGATAGGAAGAACACTGAAAACGATCCCCAGCCTGATGCATCCAACTAATGCACCAACATCAGTAAAGACAAAGCCACAAAGACAATCCGCTTACGAAGTGGGATGCCCTGTGTTTGCCCGCGACTACAGAACGAACCATAGTCCATGGGCAGAAGCGAGAGTGGTCAGAAGAGTTGGACGAGTTATGTACGAAGTAGAGGCAGGAGATGATACATGGTCACGTCATCGGAATAAGATACGCAAACGGCTAGCCCCAGATCATCCATCAAGAGCAGAAAACCTTCCCCCTGACATCCTGCTTGATACCTACAACCTACCGGCAGGCCCGCCATGAGAAGGAACTCAGCAGCTAGCTGTTCTTCGTTCCAGAAGGTTTCCTCTCAGACAGCAGCAAACGACAGTCAAGATGCAATTCGACCGCAGGAGCTCACGCTTTTAAAAAGAGAGGAGTATTTGAGATGTTAGATCCCCAGAACTCGCTTGAAAAATGCCTTATTTATGCTTTAAAGTTTGCGAGAATGGGCTGATCAGTTGACCTTGAGGTTTCATTTCCCATCAGGAAAATCCATGACTGTGATTGGCTGCTGTGAATTTTAGTGTGCTATTTTCGTTAATATCCCAAGGACGTTTCTTTGATGTATGTGCTTGATTGTACTGTGATTGCTGGGTGTTGTAGAATATACTTTCTACGCTTATCAAGTCTTCTATTTTGCATTTTGGGATTCAAGTTAGCCAACCTGAACGCTGGTGAACTTATGATAGCTTCAAGCTTGCCTAGTGACGAACATTACAGAAGTCCTCCATACAAGCCCGAACTATATAGGTGACTCAGCCAAGGCAAATGCAACTCTTCACTCTATGTGAAGACAAATTGGTGCTATCACCACAGAATTATTCTTAACGCTGTTTAAGACATATGCATGCCAACACCTTGACGTTCACAACGTCGTTGCACCTCATCTGCTTAAAAGAGACATAAATCTCTTGGATTGAGTGCGGAGACGAGCAACGAAATGGGCGATAGGGTTGAAGAACAAACCTTACGAAGATAGACTCCAGCACTTGGGATCATTCCCTCTGAGTTACAGGGGAATCAGAGGTGATCTGATTGTGGCGTACAACATATTAAGCAAGCCAAACCATCCCAACGTGAGCATCTTACCGATGCATCAACGCGACTCCCTTCGAGGCAATCTTCGAAAAATTGTGCATCAAAGAGCGAGTACTCAGGTTCATGGACACTTCTTCTCATTAAGAGTCGTTGCATCTTGGAATGCTCTCCCAGCAGAGTTGGACACATCCCCTCAGTGGACAGTTTTGTGAAGAGACTTGACGATCACGTACTCACACACGGATTATCATCTCCCTCGTGGAAAAGCTGTGCCTTATGCGTGTCTTGCGACTTGCTAGTGGTTATTCTTGCTATCTCGTCATATCAGTAACCTAATCTACCTCGCCTAATATCTCTATTGTCTCTCCCTTGCTTAAACTCGCATAATCTTCACTACCAATTAACAAAATAACTTCTCTATTTACTGACGTAGTTCTTCTTGTTAGCATTAGAATTTTCTCCTTGTTATTCTCCTATTGCAACTAACTGAATTCCGGTCTAGCAATGTGATAGCTGCTGGTATCCAGAAACCCTACTGTCGTGAAACAAACGTTTTCATTCAAATCACAGGAGATACAAACTCACAACCAACTACCATGTGACTAGAATTAGACAGTAGAGTGGCTAGACGCCGATTCGTTGAACACTACCAAACACCTGAAACAGTACTGAAAGAACAAGAATCGAGCGCAATTAGTTTACATTAGCTCGTGGAAAAAATATTGTTGATTGGATATTAGATAATAGGCTTGAGCAAAGAAATCAATTAGCTCGTCAAAGTACAACTGGAAATTGTAGAGCGCTAATCTTAATTGACCGTTGTACCGCGCGTGATACGTCGACTGTAAATACTGATGGCGCAGAAGATTTTTCAGTCATTCCGAAGGATTCCAGGACATTTCCCTACTTTTCGTAAAAAACCAGACCTAAATGATGTACAAGGGTCGAAATATAGAGTTTCAGTCGTAAGAAATGCGTCTCACTGTAAATAGTTTTAGTGTTCCGACTATGGATATCCTTCCAAACCCACATCGGTTGCCTATGACCCTGTTATTGATATGTTAGCTGTCCTTACACGTGATGGCAGCATTTATATGTATCCTTTTGGACACGGTGGTTAGTTGATTGGCTTTTTAGTTATCAAGTTGTGTCTATATAGCGAAGTCTTTAAGCCTTACATTTAGAACAGTGCTTTACCCACCCTGTTTGCTTTGTTGTACTTTCCTATGCCCTATCATGAGATTTGAAAGGATTACGAATGCAATCGGCCTTCCAGAACAGTTCGATCATATACACGAGTAACGTCGCGTAACGAGTTTTGTTGGGGTTTTCATTTCTGCGTAACAGTTATTAATATCAGAAATTGTACTTTTTTACACTTTTACTACTAATGTAGGCTGTTTTTTAAAACTTGTCCTCTTAACCGATTGATGTGGATTTTCATGGAAAAACATCGGAATGGCTATTCTACTAGTACTCGGAGAATACGTATAGTTTATTACTAAGATTCATCATGGGTGTTGAGAATTCGTGTTTTTAAAATATAAAGTCCTCATTTATATCATAAAAAAGGAAGCAACACATACGTGCATTTTGATTCGTGATATTGTTGAGTTGTAATTCTTACTTGGACGAGTCCTTAAGTTTTTTGGTCTCTGTTTAAAGAAAAATCCCTAACTCTCCACTAGATACGGGAAACCAGGAATAGCCTTTTCTGCTATGCATGAAACGAGCGCTCAGTATATTCAAGTGGCTTTTCTGATTGGCACTGTAAGTAATGCATTTAATACGTGGAACATTTTTTTTAGAAAAAATTGGTTACGCTGACAGATTCAGATGATATATATTTATGGGAGTTGACTTCAGTAAGTCAGTCATCTAGTCAACTGGTCCAAAGATCATGTCTCAAAAGGATTACAAGCCAACTTAAGTCCCTACCTAGTGGGGTCCCGAACTCATCCGCCAACAACGAGGGAACCAGTCACGTCACTGCTTTATGCTATGCCTCTGACGGTCGTAGCATCCTGATTGGAACTGACAATGGTTGGGTCGCCTCTGTTCGTTTAAACACAAGTGCGGCCACCAGCGATTACACAAAATTTTGGTGTCCACCTTCAGCTGATGATGCAATCAATCCTTCTCGAATACTTGATGGGTAAGATGTCGATATTTGGTCTTCACTTTCTTCGATAACCTATATCAGGGAACTGGTATTTAGTAGACAAAGGCTTTTAGCCTTAACGGCTTCGGTTTGAATATGTTTTTTCATGTGATTCGTTTCTCAAGTATGTACTAAAAACTTAAGCCAATTTAAATCTGCACTAAGTAAATCACACTTATTCATTTGAATTTAAAAAAGTCACAGGGATTTTCAGTGTATCTCAGAAGTAAGAAATATACACATGACTCCTAATGCTAGATTCTTGTAACCGGCATCTGCTATGTGATTTGCTATAGTGTTTGAACCCTCGCACTGTAATTAGAGCAAACCACTAGTAAAATTATTTTCAATGGTTCGAAACAAAGTAGCTCGAATGAAAGTTTTGTTGTCAGGATACATTCGAGGTAAGAAAGACATAAGTAATCACATTTTATTAGCCTTGGAGAAATTTATAAAATAAGCGTTTAAGTCACTAGTCATTATTACTATATCAGAGTGCCTTACTTTTTTTATAAGCTTAGGGGTTTCTGTACAATTCATCTTTCACCTCGTCTGAACTGCAGTGATTGGGAGCGTAGGCAGATACGATGACGAGGCAACGGCGAGTTTCCCTATCTTTACGAGAACGGTACCGTCCCGTTAAGTCGGACAGTGCATAAGTAACTGTCTACCGGGATCCAGTCTGAGTGAGCTAGTCCTGCCCTAGGACTGAATACTGTACCTACACTAGCAAGACCACGGGAAGCAGCATCAAGGCTACCTGAAACACGAAGCGTAAACCGTATTGTTTCTCGATCTGCTCAAGGTGAAATCAAATTGATGATTTTACTCGGAACTTGTATGCGCGTTACGGAGACAACGTACATCGATTGCTCAGGATTCCAGAGTTCTAGCTAATGAAGCCTGTTGCCCTATTTGGCACAAAAATCGAGCATGAAAAGCTCCAATATGTAGTTTACAGTGGGGTTTCACGAGACCAGAAATAACCTTTCGTGAGCTCAAACCGTTTGCTTCAGTGGCGCGAGTTATTAGGAGGTGCATAAGTGAGTCACTCAGTTACGACGTAAAACTTCATACGTACGTACATCAGTTCAAGTTGCCATACCTCAGCAGCACAGAGATGCAACTGTCAATTCAAATCCAATAGTGGTAGGAATAGTAGAAGTAGTAGCAGTAATGGAGAAGATCAGGTTTTCCAAGATATGCTTCGAAAAGTATAATTTAGTGAGATACATTTAGAAAACGAGAGAGATGATGAGGAATTCCGAAGGTTAGAATTTGAGAGAACACAATGAACGAATGCCCCTGCGCCATCGCCAACGGTTTTGAACCATGTAATACAAGGTCTGTAACCATAGATTACTATCATCTCACAGGTCTCAACCAGGTAGTCGACACCTACCAACATGGCTCAGTCCACTTGTCAGTGACTTTATGGATTTCTGCCATGTTTTGGTTTGGCCAACCCTAGCTTTCTTCCAACATGTTCCTGCATGGCAAAACATAGATCGACGAGGCAGCAGGTGTTTAGGCATACGAAACACGTCCCAACCATCTCAACTGATGAAGTTTCATTACTACACCTATTGAGCTGCCACCCTTAACCTAGGACCCGTTTCCTAACGACAGCATTGCTTACTCGATTGTTTCAGGATACACGAGCTATGCTTCGGAGACATCTATGATCTAAAAGCAGTAACTTAAGGATATCTTCTACTCTGACTGTCCATGTTTCGCAGCCGTAAAGTAGGACGGGGCGAAGAGATGCGCAGTATACTTGTCAATAAGTGACACAAGTTGACAGAAGCCAATCGAGCCTTCTGTATCCGTGCTGAGACTTCATCAGTCACCAGGCAATCAGCACTGATGAGAGTGGAGTGGTCAACACACTCAACTGCTTCACTCCCTATCACTAGTTCAGGTGCCGATTCAAGACAATCCTCAAACGACATTTTGCATTTCGACAGGGAGAATCGCATCCCGAACATGCTTGCATTGTTGCTTAGGGTAGTCAGAAGACTACATTTTGTCAGCATCTTCAGCATATAAAACTATGTCATCTGCATATATTCTAGGTCAACAAGCGTGTCTCCTGGTAGACGGTCCACCCCTGAAAAGTCAGACGATGATTGTCAACTCTTAAAGCATATCTATGACAAAGTTAAACAAGAATGGAGAGTGGACAACACCGACAGACACCACTTGAAGTAACCAATTCCGATGACAGTTCGCCATCAGCTCTCACTCGACTAGTGGTGTTCGAGTAGAGAGCCTGTATAAGGGTAGTGTATATCTTTGGTACATCTCTTAATGACGGACACTGCCACAGAAATTCACGATCAACTTAGTTGAATGCCACATTCACGTCGAGAAGTACTCCTATTGTGGGGCGTCTGAGCGTGTATCTTTGTTTTAGAACCTGACATAGTGTGAATATCTGATCTATACATCCACGTCCAGGTCGTAAACCAACCTGGTTTACTCTAGTCTGCTATTCACAAACTTTCGTTAGGCGTCGAGGTATTGTTGAGGCAAATATTTCAGACACTTAGTTAGATTGATTCCTCTGTGATTGTCACAAGAGGATACTCGTTCAGACGTCCCACAATAAGAGTATTTCTTCAAGCGGTGTCCGTCAGTGCTGTCCACTCTCCATTCTTGTTTAACTTTGTCATAGATATGCTTTAAGAGTTGACAATCATCGTCTGACTTTTCAGGGGTGGACCGTCTACCAGGAGACACGCTTGTTGACCTAGAATATATGCCGATGACATAGTTTTATATGCTGAAGATGCTGACAAAATGTAGAGTCTTCTGACTACCCCAAGCAACAATGCAAGCATGTTCGGGATGCGATTCTCCCTGTCGAAATGCAAAATGTCGTTTGAGGATTGTCTTGAATCGGCACCTGAACTAGTGATAGGGAGTGAAGCAGTTGAGTGTGTTGACCACTCCACTCTCATCAGTGCTGATTGCCTGGTGACTGACGAAGTCTCAGCACGGATACAGAAGGCTCGATTGGCTTCTGTCAACTTGTGTCACTTATTGACAAGTATACTGCGCATCTCTTCGCCCCGTCCTACTTTACGGCTGCGAAACATGGACAGTCAGGGTAGAAGATATCCTTAAGTTACTGCTTTTAGATCATAGGTGTCTCACAAATTTCAATCATTTTGTTTGGTTTACTGTAGAAACCTGGAGAAATACAAAGCTTTAATAAAAGATGAAGTATATTAAGCTACTGTGTTGAGATTTTTAAGAAATATTATGGTTCCATCAACTTATCAAACCTGCTGTTATCTACTAAATACGTATAACTTTTTAAAGCAGAATGACTGCTTTACTGGGACATAAAAAGTTTGTCAGATAATTTCTTTTTATAAAAGAATTCGATATTCTTCCTGATAAATAAATCAGTTAATTTGACTCAGCAATGAAGTTTTACTATATTTCACAGAAGATACATTAAGATTACCCTACATATCGAGCCCAAACGTCACACCCCCAAACGCTCTATTACGTCAGAGAGTGGAAAGTCCATTCTCCTTTTCAAAATGCTCTCATGTACATGTACATAGCCACCGCTAAGCAAGTCCTACTCATGGCTTCCTCGAGGTGGGATTCACGAAATTAAGAAAACAAAAGCGAGTGTTCGACTCTCACATCGGGTTTTGGACACTGGGGATTCGTTCAGAGGCTTTGAAAAACCGTTATAACAAGGCAATGAAGTGCACCAGCGCCAGGATCTTGATGAAAAAAAGACGTATGTACCTATTCTTGGTCACTGAAGACCATGGACTGCATTCTTTTACGTTGTTTTGCTGTCTTGTGGATCAGATCTCCGGATCAAAGGCTCGGGAAGTGGCCGCCTAAAAAACCACCCACTTTCGTTTGGGCACCTGGGCAGTGTTTCAGCCCAGACACATTAATGATTAGTGCGGTGCATATATATTTTGGTACTCCTTCGCACTAATGTTTATGTTTCAGCAAATAATAATGCATAACCTACACATATTAGACTCATCAGTTACTCAGCTATCTCGGTTTATAAAGAAACAATTATATCACTTTTTCAAATGCATTGTATGTACTTTAGTTTCCTTAGAACCACATTATCTATCATTTCGTAGTAAACGTAGCCTCTATATTTTAATCTGTATTTTTTGATATCTGGTATGTATCCATTTGCATTTCGTAATAAGCATTAAGTATGTGCTACTGTTTCGGCTTTACGTTTGACGAACTTATAATTTGATGCTAAATGTTCTGAATATGCATTTGAATATTATCGTTTGTTGTTCCGAAGTGTCTGATGTTATTAAATATTACTTACCATATGAGTCCTGATCTCAACCCAGTACGTTTACCTTGACGTGGTGGTCGGGCTTGCCTATCGTGATGACCCAACCGAGCTATACTGGCTGGAACACATGTTCCTGCAGGTCCTACCATGCCAGGCAGGTCGATTGGAGAACGATGAGACTAAAAGCAGCTACCCAAGGTCTGAGGGCGAAGTCGTACTGCTGACTGCAGAGAATTGTGACAGCAGTTAGGAGTTACCCTCCGACAACCAGTAACTGCAGCGATGCTGCCTTCTCACAAGGAAGGAAGGGTTAGAAAAGGTCGACCCTAAGAATGTCACAACTCACCCTACCTCACGGATTTCCGTCTCCGGCGGTACGGGTGCCCACTAAGGGCTTTTAAGAACGGAGCAAACACTCAAAAAACCCTTCATAAAAAGGCCGTGCGTGACCGGCCTGAAGCAGTTGTCCCCCACTGACTGCAGCCCAGATGATGTAAAAGATGAGTTTTACAGAAAGCTTTCGGACCTCCTCCAAAAAGTTAAGCGCTCTGATATAGTTATAATGGCTGGTGACTTCAATGCACAAGTAGGTAGACTAAGTGAAAATGAAAGACACCTAGGTGGATGTTACGGTCTCGCGGCTCAAAGAACAGACAATGGCGACCGTCTGTTGCAACTGTGCTCAGATAACCAACTATTTCTAGCAAACACTAATTTTAAGCATAAGGAAAAACACCTTTTGACCTGGCGACCCCCGAAGTCGTCTCAACGTTGGACACAACTAGATCATATCGCCATCAGCCACCGATGGAGGGGTTCGATAGAGGACTGTCGCTCGTTCTGCGGCCCATGTTTAGATTCAGATCATGCCCTAGTGCGAGCACGTATTTGTTTGAGGCTTGCTGGACGTAGGAAAGACACCGTAAGGAAGCCTCTTAGGGCTTTACTTGATGATAATCAAGCTAAGAAAATATTTCAGGAGGAACTAGAAAAACAGTTGGGCGATCATGCAAGTGATTCCCATCCGGAGTCAGGTTGGAATGATATAAAGAAGGCTGTGGAAACAGCAGTGATATCTGCTAGCAAGGTAAACCATAAGGCTAGGATGAAGCCGTGGATTTCAGTCGCATCCACCGAACTGATGGATGCACGAAAACGCATCCCACCTGACTCTGAACATGATGAAGAGCGTACTCAACTTAGGCGCAGACTTATAAAAAGCCTACGTAACGACCGTGAACAGTGGTGGGTGGCGAAAGCAAAAGCGATGGAAAAGGCAGCGGCGATAGGCAACACTAGACAACTTTTCCGCCTTATCAAAGAAACCGGTATTAGGAACCCGAATGTTAGTGAGACTATCTCGGAAAAGGATGGTCTTATTATCCATTCTCAATCTAGGAGGCTGGACCGATGGGCAGAACACTTTAGGGATCAGTTCAACTGGCCTTCAGCCACTCTTCGGTTGCCCACGATCTCCAGTCATCCTGAATGGCAAATCGATTTAAGTCCTCCCAGTTTACATGAAGTTGAGAAAGCTATAGGAAATCTAAGGAGAGGTAGAGCGGCAGGTCCCGATAGGCTTACCCCTGAGATGTTTAAGGATGGTGGTCCAGTTTTAACGGTTAAACTGACCGAGATCCTAGGTAGAATCTGGGAAATGGACGTAATCCCATCTGACTGGTCTCAGTCGCTAATTGTCCCAATCTACAAGAAAGGACAGAAGTCCTCTTGTGACAATCACAGGGAAATAAGTTTAACTAATATAGTTTCTAAATTGTTAGCCTCGATTATACTTAGACGTCTAACTAGAGCTCGCGAAGAGCAGACTCGAGAAAACCAATCTGGTTTTCGACCTGGACGTGGTTGTATAGACCACATTTTCACACTACGACAGGTCCTGGAACACAGACACACATTTAGACGTCCGACAATAGTCGTGTTCCTAGACCTTAAGGCGGCATTCGACTCAGTGGATCGTGAGGTTCTGTGGCAGTGTCTGTCATTGAAAGGTGTACCAAAGAAGTACATTAACCTTATACAAGCACTCTACTCGAACACCACTGGTCGGGTGAGAGCATATGGCGAACTGTCATCTGAATTCTCTACTTCAAGTGGTGTCCGTCAGGGATGTCCACTCTCTCCATTCTTGTTCAACTTTGTCGTAGACATCCTCTTAGAGTTAACATTAAGCTCGTCAGATTTTTCAGGGGTTGACCTTCTACCAGGAAAGTCGCTTACTGATCTAGAATATGCCGATGACATATTTCTATTTGGTGAAGACGCTGACAAAATGCAGAGTCTTCTGACTACCATAAGCAACAATGCGAACATGTTCGGGATGCGGTTTTCCCCCTCGAAATGCAAAATGTTGCTTCAAGACTGGGTTGCTTCGGCACCTGAACTAGTGATAGGGAGTGAAGTAGTCGAGCGTGTAGATCACTTCACTTATCTGGGGAGTCTCATCAGTGCTGACGGTCTGGTGACTGACGAAATCTCAGCTCGGATACAGAAAGCTCGATTGGCTTTTGCCAAGCTGCGTCACTTATGGCGTAGGCGTGATATCCGTTCGCTAACTAAAGGGCGGGTGTACTGCGCAGCAGTTCGTCCCGTTCTCTTATATGGCTGTGAAACATGGCTGTTAAGAGTAGAAGATGTTCGTAGGTTACTAGTATTCGATCATAGATGTCTCCGAAGCATAGCTCGTGTATCCTGAAACAATCGAGTAAGCAATGCTGTCGTTAGGAAACGGGTCCTAGGTAAGGGTGGCAGCTCAATAGGTGTAGTATTGAAACTTCATCAGTTGAGGTGGTTGGGACATGTGTTACGTATGCCTAACCACCGACTGCCTCGACGAGCTATGTTTTGTGGTGCAGGAGTAGGTTGGAAGAAAGCTAGGGTTGGCCAAACCAAAACATGGCAGAAATCCATAAAGTCACTGACAAGTGGACTGAGTCATGTTGGTAGATGTAGACTACCTGGTTGGGGTCCGCGAGACGAAAGTCATCAATGGTTAGAGACCTTGAACGACATGGCTCAAAATCGTTTGCAATGGCGCAGGTGCATCCACTCTTTGAGCTCTCTCAAATCCTAATCTTCTGGATTCGTCAGCTCCTCCGCCTTTGTCTTTCTAACCTTATCTCACTGACTTATATTTTTTGAATAATATCTTAAACCCTAGTCTTCTTTATTATAACATTAATACCTCTACCATCTTTATCACTATGGGATTAGATTTGACATTTGCGTCTCTGTGCTAATAATGTGGTATGGCAACATGAACTTATGTACATACGTACGAAGTTCTACGTTGCAACTGACTTGACTTGGTTGTTGCATTAGCGGTTATCTGCTTACTTAATGATGATTAATAACTTTGTTCTATGTTCGTTTTCTTATATCTCCACCTTCCAGCATTTCGTCTGATCGTCGTCAACGTCTACGGGCAGATGCTGTGGTAGTCTTATTAGAAAGGCCAGGGTTTCCTGGACAGCTATTGATTGGATACAATTCCGGTCTAAGTTTATTATTTGACCTCCGTTCAGATCGTATTATGGCACTATTACCGTGGCAGCATGGCCTGGAAGCTGCCGCTTGGTGCGGTGGTAGCGGCCAGCCGAATAAGTCAAGTCCGACGTCACATTTGTCCCAACTGGGGATGCGTCTCTTAACTGCGCACTCAGACGGGTCTTTGGGAGTTTGGAGTTTGAAGGAAATTGGCGTTGGTACGACAACAATATCTCCTGTTCAACCACCCTTGCTACAAATGGAAGAAGCCCCAAGCATGCCGTATGGTAAATTGACTAAATTTGAATCATTTCACGTTTGGTTTCCCATAGACCCTGTTTTGTCTTTTGATGGGATCAGTAGTATTATTCACTAATGTTTTCCGTTTTCTCGTAACATTTTATTTTACTATCTATGTGCTCCGAATCCGTCCCATGTCATCTCATTCAACGTAAAACGTGACGTTCGTCTTCTCCTCCATTCTAATCTCCTGAATTCCTCATCACATGTATTTTTCTCTTAAATTTATTTCACTGGATTATACTTTTCGAATCGTATCTGCGACTGCTAATTTTTTGATTACCAATAGTACTACTGCTACTACTATCTCTGCTACTGTGGGATTTAAATTGACAATTGCGTTTCTGTGCTAATGTAGTTTGGCAACTTGAACTGATGTACGTACGTAAGAAGTTCTACGTTTTAGCTGTCTGTTAGTCTGTCTAAAACGTGACATATGTTCGTCCGTTCAAGTGAAAACACCACTCAAGCACTCCAAGATAATGTTAGCGTGACAAATCTCAAAGTAATAGAAGAGATCGGGTTTAGAGGAAATGGAACGAAGTGTTGGAGAGCGACTTTTGGATTTAGGAAATAAGGAAGAATCGTTAATGAATGCATCTGCACCACTGTCAGTCAGTCAGGTACAACGTATGACTTCGTACATACGTACATCAATTGAGGTTGCCATACCACATTAATACAGAGACGCAATTGTCACTTCAAATCCCATAGGAGTAGAGGTAGTAGAAGTATTAGCAGTTAATGGAGAAATTAGGGTTTGACAATATTATCAAAGTTGAATGTAGAGAAATAAACGTTAAAATAAAAAGATAAAGGTGATGATAATTCCGGAAGACTAGGATTTGAGAGAACACAATGAACGAATGCCCCTGCGCCATCGCAAACGGTTTTGAACCATGTAATACAAGGTCTGTAACCATAGATTACTATCATCTCACAGGTCTCAACCAGGTAGTCGACACCTACCAACATGGCTCAGTCCACTTGTCAGTGACTTTATGGATTTCTGCCATGTTTTGGTTTGGCCAACCCTAGCTTTCTTCCAACATGTTCCCGCATGGCAAAACATAGATCGACGAGGCAGCAGGTGTTTAGGCATACGAAACACATGTCCCAACCATCTCAACTGATGAAGTTTCAATACTACACCTATTGAGCTGCCACCCTTAACCTAGGACCCGTTTCCTAACGACAGCATTGCTTACTCGATTGTTCCAGGATACACGAGCTATGCTTCGGAGACACCTATGATCTAAAAGCAGTAACTTAAGGATATCTTCTACTCTGACTGTCCATGTTTCGCAGCCGTAAAGTAGGACGGGGCGAAGAGATGCTCAGTAGACTCGTCCCTCGGTTAGCAAACGGATATCTCGCCTACGCTATGAATGACGCTTGTTGAGGGAATGTATGTTGGGAATATATGATACGGCCATCCTTTACCGATTTAGTCTCACTAACAGTCGGATTCCTTATAAGTTTGAATAGATGCGTAGTGTTACCTATTGCCTCTGCCTTTTCCATCTCACCTTTTTTTTCGCGATTCACCTCTATTCGTGATCATTGGGTAGACTTTTTATCGGCCTGCGATTAAGTTAACTTCGCTCTTCGTCATGTTTAGAGGTGGGTTATGAGTTTTTGTGAAGCTCTCATTTGAGGTGGTTAGCACATGTGCAACGAGGTTCCCAAATACATGAAGCGTAAATCGAATTGGTTATTTATTTTGACATGGTGAAATGAAACGATTGACTCTGTTCGGATCCTGTATGCTCGTTTCAGAGACACAACATATATGAATGACAGGAGAGTGCAGAATGCCAGCAAAGGAAGTCTGTTGCCCTAATTGTCACAAGGTTGGAACATTAAAAGCTGCAATATGTAATTGAGAGCGGAGTTTCAGAAAATCAGGAAAAACGTTTTCTGAACTGGAAATGTTTGTGTGAGCGGAGCGAGTTGGCAAAGAAGAAGAAGAAGAAGAAGAAGAAGAAAGAAGAGTTTGTGGTGGAGATGAGAGAGTTATTAAGAGGTGTAGGAAGGATTTGATTGTGACTAGAATGGAGTTGTGTGTTGTTACGAGTATGAGTGTAGATGTCACTTCCCGGCTGCCCACACCGTGGAAGGGTGTTTCTTGAAGAACCTGAAAAGGAAGGTAGATTAGTGTTGGTCTTAGAGACGTAGGTGTGTGACTGCAGAGCTGAAGGGACTACTGCCTGAGGCCAGTCAAACACGGCCTTTTTATTAGAGTTTTACGTGACAGAATGAAGGACTTCGTAGACGCCCAACTTCGAGACCAACAGGCCGGATTTCGTAAGGATCGATCGTGTACTGACCAAACTGCAACATTACGGATCATTCTGGAGAAATCAGTTGAATGGAACTCACCACTCTACATCAACTTCATCGACTGCGCGAAAGCATCGGATAGTGTAGACAGGAAGACATTGTGGAGGCAGTAGGTCTCAACATACATAATGGGAAAAGCAAGATTTTCCGATACAACACAACATGCACCATTCAAATCACTGTTGATGGATATGCCCTGGAGGACGTTAACACCTTTACATATCTTGGCAGCATCATTGACGAGCTGGATGGATCCGATGCATATGTGAGGGCGCGGATTGGCAAAGCAAGGAGTGCATTTCTGCAGCTGAAAAATATCTGGAACTCCAAACAACTTTCAACCAAAACCAAAATCAGGATTTTCAATAAAAATGTGAAGACAGTTCTACTGTGTGGAGCGGAAACTTGGTGAACTACGAAAGGCATCATCCAGAAGATACAAACGTTTATTACATTACGTTGAGAAATAGAGAAAGATATGAGAAGAATGAACAAAAATTGGAGAGAACTGGAAAGGGAACCCTAGGACAGAGTTGGTTGGCGAAAACTGGTGGGTGGCCTATGCTCCACTGGGGGTAACAGGCGTAAGTTAATAAGTAAGCTCATCTCTTCAAGTGTCTTTACTTCCTAGGATGGAAATGCGTGTGTCGATTGATCCTTACGTAATACCCTATTCCTTAACCAGACATTGCTTGCTTGGTGGTTCCAAAATACACGAGCTATGCTTCAAAGATACCTGTGATCGAATAATAGTAACCTACGGGTGTCTCATTTTCTTCGTGTCTATGTTTTCACGAACGCAAAATAGAACTGAGCGAAATTCGACTCAGTGATCCCCTGATTATCATTCCTTTCGTTACAATACTTCCTATAGGATGTTTATTCATGAGAAAACTTTTTTTTCTTAAACTAAAAATCATCGAGCTGAAAAATTATTTGATTACACATTAAAATAAGTAAACACAAGTTAATGGTTATTCAGAATAACGTGAGTTAAAATTAGTCAGTTAAAAATGAAATTGTGAATTTGAAGTAACTGCGGATAATGCAATTTAAATAGGTGATAGAGTTGAAAAATTTATTGCAATAAGGATAATGCCACAACTGTAAAAAAGGATTTACCAGTTTATTATGGAACACAGATCGCAAAACCATGTCGACTCACATTCACTTCTATCTAACTTCATTTGCATGGGACCGTTAACTCGTATGTAAGGTTTTTATTTTGAAATGTTACAGGCTGTTAGCTACTGACGAATACGTAATAGAATAAATTGGATTCACGTTATTCTACTTGCATGTTTGTTACTCCTTTCTTCGAGAAAATGAAGGGAACTATGTGTGAAACTCATCTTAATTTTAAACATAAAGTTATGGGGTCTCCTGAATTACTAACGGACCATAGGAGGGATTCTCGAACGTTCACATGATAGTCAAATGTCCTTTATTTCTCAAGGTTTGATGCATATTCACAGGCTCCTGCGACTTTAACCTATAGTGTTTGCTAGAGCAAAAGTTGATTGGGTAAAAATTGGATATAAACCAAACAAATGAGATACAGTAGTCATCTGTTTTACCAGTAGATTAAGCAGTTTATCTACTTATATTCATGATTTTGTTTGTATTATTTATGGGTGGAATATATTCTCTATCATCTGCATGTGCATATATTTGTGTTTTCTGGATTTTCATACATCTATGATCAAAGCAATTTTAAATGTGTTCTTCATTCTAATTTCAGACATTTGGGTCCTAGTCACCACCAGTTCTCTGTAGCTAAACACACAGTTCTAATCAATTACCTTGAATTTTTCATTACTTCTGTTTTCAGGAAGAAGCTTAGTAAAGCCTCAACTTCTGTAAACTAAGTATTCATCTGTCAATTATAGTGTAATGTTTCAAATCCTGTCTAGTTCTAACTGACTATTTAAATAGCATATTGATTATTTTACATAATATTTTTTAACCGATTGGCAGAATTGAAAATAGTGTCTGGAGTATTATCATTTTCTGGATCTAGTTTCAAAGAATGGAAAAGCGAATTTTTTGGCTTTATCAAATCGAATTATTACTTATTCGTAACATTGAAATAATCTACTTTTTCTTGTTAGGACCTTTCCCGTGCAAAATGATCAGCAAAGTTTTCTGGCTTCCATCTGCTCTGTAAGTTATCCTTTAGTTCTTACAAACTAGGTTCTATGCCTTAACAGAATCCCATGTGATATTAGATGTTGTCAGTAGTTTGCATAAAACATGTCACTTTTTAACTTTTTTTCCTTGGATAATTCATGTTGAAATCATAGTAATATTAAGTTTTTCATACTATTAATGTTTTTTGTCTCTTTTTTTAAGCTTGTTATCTTCGGTTAATTTCGATTTTATTTTATAAGATACGTCTAGCATTTACTGTAATATTAGTTCAGATAATAGGATAATCAATAAAAACAGAAAGTGTCATACCTTGTGAAGGAAAAGATTTATAAGCTGCTTTAAAACATGATATAATTTGAGTATTTCTTGAATAATAAATTTTCTTATTTTTGTCAGCAACCTCAAATCCTTATTTTACACATGTAATAATTTATTTAGATTTAGTTATCCCAGCATTCCAAAGGAACACTTATCTTCTTTCTTCGTCTTATGAATTATTTTGTTTGTTCTTAACAGAGGAGGAATTACTGTATTTGTTGGTGGAATGCCACGTGCCACATATGGCGAACGCCATACCGTAAGCATATTGCGTGGTTCGAATATTGACCAGGCTGCTAATGCTAGTGTTGTAGCTGCCCGACTTGCTGTGGCAGCTGAAGCTGAAGATGATGACGAAATACCAGAGGAAAGTTCATTATCAGCTCCGATACACGTCTTTGATTCTGATGCACCTGAACATGTGTGTTTGGACTTGCCATCAAGTCTTATTGATTTAATTCCTGTTGGTTCTGTTGATGGACCTGTTCAAATGCTAATCCTTTTATGTGAAGAAGAAATGGTTGTGATTGACCTTATCACTTCTGGTTGGCCTTTTATGCGTCCCCCCTATTTAACGTGCTTGCATACAACATCCCTTACTACATACAATTTAACTACACAAGTAAGTCCTATAGAATTTCACTTGTCCGTTTGACAACATATTAAGTTTTATTGTTTCAAGTAGCTTTGAAGAATCTATACTCAATGTAATTTGAACTCGTTTGTTCTTTTGGTTTGTAGTTCTGCCTTATCTACAGTTTGTTACCTTACTCGACTGATAATAATAAGGAAATAATTCCGTTTTTGACTTTACTATCAATGTCAACTACTTAGTTGATACCGAAAGTAATATTTTCTCAATAAAGGGCATGTAATAATAATGGCTCCAGCCTACTCACAATAACGTACGTCTCAAGGTGTAATTTCAAATTGAATGACTAAGATTTCCTGTTTAACATTTTTATCATTTGTTGACTTTAAGCAATACGGCAGTTATATGTTGTAAATAAAGTCTGTTCAAATAAATTACATTTACTTCTGAGTCAATTTCCACCAAGAATTTATAAAATTGCCCGTAGACTTTTTTGCCTTGGTTTATTGATATCAAGTAGTATATATAGTAAAATACGTTCTGGGAACATGTAATTGATAACTGACAGGTTATAAATCATAGATGTGCTTACGATGTCAACGATGAGTATTTTTAAGCGGGTATTAAAATTTCGAAATCAGTATTTCATGTTTCGTTTGTGTTAGTAAGACTATCTGGGTAAAGGATGTTCGTATCATTCATTCTCAACCCAAGAGATTGAATTGATGGGCAGAACACTTGAGGAATCAATTTAACTGGCATTCAACCACACTTCGGCTGGCCACGACTACAGGATAACAGTAACCAAAAATAATGGCCACAATCCCTAATCATGTTGAAACAGACATTAAAACGTCTGTTTTTTTCTCTATCTTTGGTGATCTATTTTTAGGGTATGACTACAAGTATTAAAAAATATCGATTGGTTTAAATGCCATTAAAATATGTGCTTTGTATATCTTTGTGCATTTGTTCTCGCCAAAATATATCAAGATATCGCATTCTGAGAAGCACATAATTTCTGGCTTTAAGCACATTTGAACTTGAATCTAAAGTAAACAACTGATAAGGTGTAGCTAATTATAGCATTTACAAAATCAATATTATATGGTGACAGGTTTTTCAGAGTTGAAAGACTGACGATGTGAAAAATTATTCCTTATTACAGAGGTGGGTTTGGATAATAAATGTAAACTATAGTTGTTTGAATTTTATTCCTCAAAATCGATTACAACAACGTATATCCATCCACTTCTCGTCTTAAATAACTTATACCTTTTATTCCGCGAATTAGTCCTTTCTTCTGGAATTTTACTTTTTATCTCTAACCTTGATGTAGAGAATACACCATATTAAAAGCCTCTGTTGTCAGGAAAGTGATAAAAATTCAGCACGAACCTATCTATGTATCTATTTATTTCAACAGATGTTTATCGTTGATATTAGCGTAAACTGTATGTATTATCAGCAGGGTTGTTCTACATTATTGTTATTTGTGTACAATATCCAAAAATAAAAATCTTTTTTTACTAACTGCTCTGCGTTACTGAACATTAATTACGGTTGTTAATAAATGGTACTACTTCATTGTTCATGCGGGTAGACAAATACTTCCATGTAGAATATTCGATGTTTCGATCTATGTCCACTAAATATATCGTGAAAATTCTTCTTCCTCAATAAATTTGATACAAAAATTTAGTATCGATACTCCTGTGTATTTTAACTACTTTATCCCACAAAATAGGTTAGCTCAACGTTACTATCAAATCTTGAAGCTGCCGGTTCTTACTATGGCCCTGAAGGACGTTTTGGTCGTGGAGGAGCAATTGCTAATAATCCAGCAGGTGGAGGTTGGTCTTCTCTCCCTTGGCCAATACAAGGTGGCCATGCATTAATTAATGGGTCTCGGTTGTCTACAAGCTCTTTGGGTGGAAATATTCTGTACACAGATGACTTACTTCTTACTGGTCACGAGGACGGTTCCGTCGCATTTTGGCGGCTCAGTGCAGGAGGCTGCCTTCGACGCATTTATACCTTGTATACAGCTATCTTATTCGAGGATGTTAGTCAGTTGGTAAGTAATTAGATAACCATTTATCGTTTTTAGAACATTTATCAAGATTTAAACTTACAGTTGCACAGCAATTCGACATCAAGTGTATATAAAACATCAATTATAAATTTATATTTGTACTAATCTCAGTGATTGGAATTTCGGTCGTTCTGACCTTTTGTTTTTCGATTTTTTCGAAAGCTTTTGTTTTCTTTTGTTTTTGGGTCTTTAGATTTGTCTGTGGTTGTAGTCCTGGTATCCTATGACTGTGTAGTGACTAGTAAAGTGTATAAACTCATTGTTTCTGTGCTCGATTCACTTAATGAATCGAGAAATAAGAAAACTGGTTCAAACGAACCACAAAAATATTTTTTTCTTTCCCAAAGAGTTTTACGCTAGTAACTTCGTACAGTTTTTAAAATGTCTTGGTTTTCATTGATTATGCCTCTCGTATTTTGGAATGATAAGTTAATAATAATCTTTCTAACTTGTCTACTTACTTTAGGATCATCCTAATGGTGTCGATGATGAAGGCGATGCATGGCCTCCCTTTCGCCAAGCAGGTGTTTTTGATCCTTTCATGGATGATAGCAGAGTAGCTATACAATTCATTGATCTTGTTGATAATACATTGGTTGTGGGTGGAGCTGCAGGTCAGGTAAGATAAATATTCTTTCATTTACCACTGTTCTGCTACCATATGCTTTATAAGCAAAGATGAATAGTTGCATGCAGAAGAATCCAGGACACACGTTTTGTCCTATTTGGGACTTGTTAACTGGATATTTCTGCGTCTCAGAGTTGATGTTCACTTCAGGACTCGAATGCTATGTGGTGTATACTACTCGCAACGTGGCTTGTAAGTAGTAATCAGCGGAGTGTCTCTCAGAAGTAACTACTCAAGGAAAGAGTGTCGTATCCGGACGTATGACGGGATCGAGTTTTTTTTGAAGACTAGAAGGCATGTGAAAGAAACAACTAAGAATTTGCTTGTTTTGCAAATGGAAATATGAATATAAATTGTACAAACTTTACTAGTAAACTAACTCTTCTCTAAATAAACCACTTATTCCTTCTGGTCGTCAGAATTGATATATTTCATTGGTGTTCGTCAAGGAAGTTCACTCTCTCCATTCTTGTTTTACTTTGTCACGGACATACTTTAAGGGTTAACACTTTTTGTTTGACTTTTCAGGGATGAACCTTCTACTAGAGACATGCTTGTTGACCTAGAATATGCTGATAAATTAGTACTACTTGATGAAGACGCTGACAAAATGCAGTCTTCTGACAACCCTAAGCAACAATGTAAAATTGTTCGGGATGTAATTCTCCCCGTCAAGATGCATAGTGATGTTTGAGGATTGGGTTGCATCTGCACCTGAACTAGTGATAGCCAGTGAAGTAATTGAGCGTGTCCATGGCGACACTTATCTCGAGAGTCTCATCAGTGCTGATGGCCTGGTGACTGACAAAATCTAAGCACGGATACAGAATGTTCGATTGGCTTTTGCCAACTTGCGTCACTTATCAAGTTGGAGAGATATCCGTTTGCAAATCAAAGGACGATTGTGCTGCGTATCATTTCGCTCCGTCCTACTGTACAGCTTTGAAAGGTCGCTGGTAAGAGTAGAAGATATTCTTAGGCTACTTGTATTCGATCATAGGCGTCTACAAAAATTGTCCATACATGGTGGGACAATTTAGTAGTCAATGCAGTTGTCAGGAAACAATTACTAAGTAAGGTTGGCAGATCAATGGATGAAGTATTGAAACTTCATCAGTTGAGATGATTAGGACATGTGCAACAAGGCCCCCAGATACACGAGGCGTAAATCGAATTGGTTAATTATTTTGACATGGTGAAATGAAACGATTGACTCTGTTTGGATCCTGTATGCTCGTTTCAGAGACAACATATATGAATGACAGGAGAGTGCAGAATGCAAGCAAAGGAAGTCTGTTGCCCTAATTGTCACAAGGTTGGAACATTAAAAGCTGCAATATGTAATTGAGAGCGGAGTTTCAGAAAATCAGGAAAAACGTTTTCTGAACTGGAAATGTTTGTGTGAGCGGAGCGAGTTGGCAAAGAAGAAGAAGAAGAAGAAGAAGAAAGAAGAGTTTGTGGTGGAGATGAGAGAGTTATTAAGAGGTGTAGGAAGGATTTGATTGTGACTAGAATGGAGTTGTGTGTTGTTACGAGTATGAGTGCAGATGTCACTTCTCGGCTTCGCGCTTGGAGGAAGTGCGGCATGTGCAACGTATGCCCAAACATTGACTGCCTCGATGGGCCAGCACAGCGGCGGGATTGTCAGTTCAATTCCCATAGTCGTAGAGATAATAGAAGTATTAGCGGCAATGGAGAAGATTAGGGTTCAAAGATATTATTTAAGGAGTGTAATTGAGTGAGATGAATTTAGAAAGAGAAAGATAGAGGTCCTTCATGCTTGTCTATTACAAAGTTAAAAAATAATGGAGAAAGTGAACATCATTGACGGATACCACTTTAAGTAATGTATCCCGATGACAGTGCGCCATAAGCTTTCACTCGAAAAGTAGTGTTCGAGTAGAGAGTTTGCATAAGGTTGATGTACGTACTTCTTTGGTACATCTTTTAATAACAGACACTGCCACAGAACCTCACGATCAACGGAGTCGAATGCCGCGCCGTAAGGTCGAGAAATACTCTTATTGTGGGGCGTCGAAACGAGTGTCTATGTTCTAGGACCTCACGTTGTGTGAATATTTGGTCTATACATCCACGTCCAGGTCGAAAACCAGCCTGGTTTTCTCTAGTCTGCTCTTCACAAACTTTCGTTAAGCGTCAAGGTATTGTTGAGGCAAATATTTCAGACACTCTGCGATTGTCACTAGAGGACTTTTGTCCTTTTTTGTAGACTGGGACAATCGGTGATTTAGACCAGTCAGATGGGATGACGCGCAGTTCCCATATTCTACCTAAGATCTCAGGGTTTAGCCTGTCAGATCCTGCTGCTCCTCCTCGTTTCATATTTCCTATAGGTTTTACAAATTCAATTGGAGTCAAACGACTTACATCGACTTGCCATTCAGGATGACTGGAGATTGTGAGCAAGCGTAGTGCGGCTGAAGGCCAGTTGAACTGATCCGTGAAGTGCCCTGCCCGTCTATCCAATCTCCTGGGTTGAGAATGAATAGTGAGATTATCCTTTTCCGAAATTGTCTCACATTCGGATTCCTAATACCAGTCTCTTTGATTAGGAGGAATCCTTGTCTGCTGATACCCATTGCCACTTCCTTTTCGCGAATAACTTAAACTCATTAGGACTGTTTTGTATATGCAATGAAGGACTAACTCAACGATTCCTCATAACTTTTAAGCAGGTAAATTAAAAAAATAAATTAGTGCAACACTGTTGACAATTCTTCTGGAATATTCATCTTACTTTTTAAATAATAAAATGCTTTAATCGTTATCTTCACCAGCTTCAGTCTTTTATATTTGTTTGTTTTAAACTGTTTACTAAGCACTCCTTGTAATCACTGAAAATAATTAGTTTATGATCGTGGAATTTTACTTATATATTTTACTGAATAATTTTTTTGTTACTTATCGTACAATCACGTTAGACGTATAAGCCTTATACATGTTCATCGTATTACCTTACATAATTTGTCATATATTCTTATATTTCTTGTATTTACAAACTTAGAGAAGTGGATCTTTTTTGACAAACCCATTATTGTTTTGTCATAGGATTTTGTGTTGTTATTTCCTGTATGTCTCCATACATTATGATGGATATATTTATTGTTTTAGAGACATGTTGGTGATGTTTCTCATCCTAAACCGTGTCTGTTAGTTTTGTTCTATCTCTCCATATCTTGCATTTAAAGTTCCGTTTAGTGATAGAATATTTATATTGCGGCAAATTTTTTCATCTATCAGTCCCTAAGTTCACAGTATTTGCATAAAGTGCTTTCTGGTTATTAATTATTCGATTATGCAAATTTTCTCATAGTCAAATTATATATATATATATATATATATATATATATATATATATATATATATATATATATATATAATCTAAGTGCTTATAAAATGGGAATTTGTTTCAATTTCTTATATTTTGTAGTGAGAAATGTTTACTATAACCAGACGTATGATGCTGACTAAAGTAAATATCGTAAAAATAATAATAAAATTATTATTGGTTAGCACTACTGAATCAATCGTCAAAAGTGCGAATAATTTGTATGGGCATGTATCATCTAACATAGGAATAGAGTACATGTGGTACTGTTGTAGAGTTTACACTACTATCTTAAACATAAACTAATTGTGAAATCCCTCTCTTTTTCTACTGAAATCATTTGTCTAACATTATGTTAAACAGAATACACATTATTTACTCTTAGATGTTTATGCATAATCACAGAACTTTTTCTTTCATTCCTGCTCTTGTGTCATCAATGTCAATTGCTTCATATTATACCATACCGTGTTGTGGCACTTTATTGCACATATGGGTTGTAAACAGTTGATGAGAAATCATGAAATAAAATGAATTCATATTATTTTGTCTCGATTATTATTCTGGCCGTGCTGTTTCTTACTTTGTCGTGTATAATTTAAATAGTGAAACAGATATTTCTTAAAATTCTTTCTGTTTTAGACTCATTAAGCTGTCATAATTATAAATCTAACAATTTGAAAATACATACTAATAAATGTAGCCAATCAAAATTTGCTGAGATCTTTAAGACATATAAGTGAATAATCGATATTTTTCTGTAAGAGTGTATTTTGCTCATTTCATAGCAACTAAATGTGATTAGTAAAGTAAACGAATGAGTATGTATTTGTTCTTACATATTTCATTCTTTCAGGTAATTGTATATCAATTTCTTAATTTCACTCCACATATTGAACCGGCAATTGTAACAATTAAAAAATCAGTACCTGGATTTCAATGGAAAGGACATGCTCCTCTTACGGTAAATAGTACATTATTTATTTGCTAGTGATTGTCTATGCCTACATTTTATATCAAATCAATCGAGAAATATGATATTTTATTTAGAACCTGTTAAATTTGTTGTGTTCTCTGAATTATCTTATTTTGACTAAATCTTCATTAACTTATTGTGTTATCTGAATAATGCTTTTCTCGTCAGTCGTATTTATTAATGTCTAATTATCAGCTACAATTCATTAGTTAAATGTAAAACGAATGCTAAGTTAGTACGCTTTCTATAACACTCCATCAGGTATTTCTTGTTAAACACGTACATATTTGAAAGTGCTATGACAGTGAACATTTTTTGCAGAAAAATTATAAATAAATTATTGATCTATGTAGTTCGTATGGAAGGTCTCTTTGTTTTATAAGTGTTATTTTATTGACCTGTTTTGAAAATTCCTGTTTGGTTCACCTCAACAATTTTTTTCATAGCATTGTTTACTCTATGTTACGTCTATCAGCAACAACCTTGAAGTATAACATAAACTGAATGGAGTATGTTTTGTTTATGTATTCTGCGTGCTAATTTGTGATTCTTATCATGTAGGTAATACGCAACGTTAACATGATACTTTCATAAGTTTTACATTCAACCATTAGTGGTGAGAGATACCAGATTGACTATGATCACCGCTAAATGTTCCATACTATCCCGTCATTTAAATCAAAATAAATCCATGTTTGAATATTTTATTGAAGGAGAGAATAGGCATTACATGGGGAGCAGCGCATTTAGAAAAATGGCAGCAACGCGAAGAGAACGTTGCGCGCAAGAAGTGTTTTTGGTACAGTTAAACAAAACGAGTACAATAATGTTTATTTTTCACAAATCGTATTTTTTCCGTAGAAGCGTTCCACTACAAGTCTATGATTACTTTTTTCACAAGCATTAAGAGATATGTTTTTTTATGCAGTTCGAACATGAACGATTAGATAAAACCAGAATATACCAAAGTACTAAATTTAATTCGTCTGTTAACCATTCAATACCTGAGGTTAAGATAATGGTTAAACCTCGTTTTCGTTTGTTTATTCATATATCCGAACATATTTTTTAAGTTAGGTTTCCACTTTTTTGATTAAGATACTTTACACTTCATTAGGCTAGAAAATATTTTTATTTGTGAACTTTTTATTACCTTCTCTATCTATCTGTTTTTTCTTCGACCAGTACATAATAATTTTTTACTGCATATTTAGCTTCGAACATGCTTCAGCAGTAATTTCATTGCTAATTCAGGACAGCCTACTCCACTTCCTGCTCAATTACAAGCTACAGGTGTTATTTTCGTCCAGCCTCCTGCACGTATTACATCTCTTCTTTTGAGTGAATTTGAATTAACTCATCTAAAAGAATTTAGTCAGAACCAAACTAATAACTCTTCTGGTGGTGGCTTGCAAATTTTACTTGCACTCGGTACACCACATGGTTTTGGTGTAGTTTTCGTACCTAAACCTTTACCTAATAACGATTCAGATACACAGAAACCATTAGCACCTCAAACATTACTTGCCGTGTCAACAATACCGGAAAATATCGATGCTCTTCAAGAAGCTGCTGCCGGTGAAGGTTGGGCTAGGCGTCGTACTCGAGAACTTAAGAAAAGTCTTCGCGATTCATTTCGACGTCTTAAAAGAGTACGATCAACTAAATCAAACGTCCAGCCAGTTGTCTCAACTTCTACTGTTAATGTTAGTCGTGCTGGTATTCGACGAACTGTAACTCAAGTAAGTTCATTCTTCAACACCCCTATGTTTATTTAACGAACAATTAAATTAGTCGAACCACGTAAACTAATAACAATCACTTGGTTGTCACTAGTCTACTCCAAAGTATTTCCTGAACACTGTTGTGTTTTCGTTAAATGAATTTTAGTTTTAAGTTTCATTTAAACTAAAACAAAATTATTCTATTGAGCAATAAGGTATAGACTTCATCGCATTTATGTTGTAGAGCTAAATAAATATCAACTTATCACGTAGTAATAGATAGTTGACCAGAAATTCTATACCTAAACTTTCTACCAGTTGATATTCATCAACATGGTACATTAATATTCTATAGGCATTCGTCATAGGATCCAAATCCATGTTATAATCAAAGACGTTACCATGAAATTCTAGCTTTTTTAACGCTCACTGGTAACCAGTATCATATTCATTCTTAGTACTGGTCAAGCTCTGTAAATCACTTTTGAATGTGTTCGCTAATCTACATAACTTGGAATTGCTAATCGCTGAATATTAAGTCAGTCAGTTACAACGTGGAACCTCGTATATGCTTACATCACTTCAAGCTGCCATAACATAGTAGCACAAGGATGCAATTGTCTATTCGAATCCCACACTAGTAGAGGTATTAGCAGTATTAATGGTAGTCGAAAAAATCAAGAGCCAAAGATACACTTCGAAAAGTATAATCCTATGAAATAAATTTGAGAAGAGAAAGATGAAGGTGATGAGGAATTCAGAAGACTAGAATTTGAGAGAACACAATGAATGAATGCCCCTGCGCCATCGCAAACAGTTTTGAACCATGTAATACAAGGTCTGTAACCATAGATTACTATCATCTCACACGCCTCAACCAGGTAGTTACGAGTATGAGTGTAGATGTCACTTCCCGTCTGCCCACACGGTGGAAGGGTGTTTCTTGAAGAACCTGAAAAGGAAGGTAGATTAGTGTTGGTCTTAGAGACGTAGGTGTGTGACTGTAGAGCTCAAGGGACTACTGCCTGAGGCCAGTCAAACACGGCCTTTTTATTAGATTTTTACGTGTTAGCTCATCTCTTCAAGTGTCTTTACCTCCTAAGATGGAAATGCGTGGGTTAAGGTGTCGTGTTACATTTTAAGTGTCGACCTTTTCTAACCATTTTTTTCGCTCTTAGAATGCAGCATCTCTGCAGCTGCTGATTGTCTGAGTAAACACCTTACTGCTTCTACACCTGTCTGAACTCTGCCGTACGATTTCGTTCTCAGACCTTGAGTTCCTGCTTTCAGTTTTAGCGTCCTCCATTAGACCTGTCTGGCATGATCGAACTTACAGGAACATATGCTCCAGCCTATGTAGCAGCTGGAACACTGAATAGCTTAGTTTAATGTTAGATTACTGAGACTAGTTACTGCATGTCAATTTCAATTTAATAATCGTTAATTAGCTCTAAACAGTTAGATAAACATCATGTTAACCAAAGTATTTAATGACCTGTATGCCATTGGATCTTTAACTTCATATTCACGTTTACTGAAGCATAACGTAGTGAAAAAATAGCCAATAAATTTTCAAAGTACTCATTACATCTTCGAACAATACTTAAAAGTATGTTGATTTTTCATATCATTTGAAACTATCAATTTGTTAGATGTATATTTCAGCATCCAAACCACGGAATCGGTCTATTTCATTGAAAAAATTTCATTTATTTCCCTAACATGACTATGCAAATTTCTATATAAAATAATCAAAAATAAAAAAAAACTGTTCACTATCGTGATAAATTATTATGTTAATAATTCGACTTAAAGAAATAGACATGTACTTTTGACTACTGTTTATTTCATTACAACATACAAGGGATTCTGTAGTATAACATGAATTGTTCATTTACCTTTTATATTTATCTAAGTCTAATCGTACTGCTCCCAATCAAACTGATGGGACCCCTCTTGATGAAGCAGAAAGACGCAGTGGACGAGTCCCAGATGAGAATGTCTTATTAATATCACAGTATAATGTTGAAAGAGAAATATGCGATCGTGTTCAGGATTCTGCTAGTGTAGCTATTGTATCTTGTTTTGCATTTGGTCCACCGTTGTTTAAACCAAGTCCATCAAATTCTCGTCCAACAATACATCCAGTCGCAACACTTTTTATTGGTACTAAAGCTGGAACTGTTAAATTATATTCTATTTTTGTTGATAAAACAGTATCGAATCCATGCGTCCTACCTAAACTACAATTGTACTATTCTCGAGAACTCATTTTACAACATCGTGCTCCTGTTCTATCACTTCGTCTGATCGATGCTAAGTCAAGCATGCCTTATTCATTATCAGGTATGTGTTAATGATAATTACATTTGTAATATTTACATTTTTATTGGGACACAAGAAATCATACCACACATACCTATTTTCACAGAAGCAAAACATAAACATTTCGATGTTAGTAATTCTCCAATTGGTTTTATAATTAGAGAGGTTATTTTTCTCTTATTGTATGCCAAAGGATAAGCATTTAAATGTTTCATGCATGTGCAACTCTACTTCATGCACGCATGCGCACATACTCCTCAAAAGTAGTCATATCTAGTAAGTTAACTTAACCACATTAATATTCTAGTTTGCTGATAGTAGTAAAAACTTAAATATCAATACTGAACGTTGAAAGTGTTTTTCTCTCACAAATTAGTTGTATAAAACTGATAAAATATAAATGTTGTGTTCAATCGGTGTTGTCTACCAAATTGATCAATACCGTGAGACATGTACAAAGGTTCAAAATAAATGTGTACATTTATATGCAGTAAAGTAGCAAACATTGAATTAAATAGTGAAGTGCATTTGTTCTTATCATGAATTCAAGTGACGCACTAATCAAAATAAACTAACATTTAAATTACACTGAATGGTTGTTCATCTTAAGCATCATTCTCTCTTAAAATATCCTTATTGGGTTGACATGTATTAACTAAACTGATTGAATTTAATTAAAATATTAGTCATTTTGAATCTCTAATGAGCTCATCTACTTATATGAAAACATGTGTATTTGTGTTTCGATTGATATAACTTATTATTACTATCTTTCGCATTTGATTGATTATTCAAGTGTTTTTTCGCTTAAACTCAATTAGATTATCATTTGTATACTTTGTTCTTGATAATGGCTTTTGTTTTACATATTCTGCAAAATGCAGAAAAGATGTAATTTCAGATCTAAAGTATAGTAGACGTTGACTTACTGGTTATAAATCACTTTGCAGGTTTCAATCTCACCCTACTTTGATTTAGGGTTTCTACACAAACGTTAATGCATACTCTGTATTTACTTGATAAATGAATTACAGTAGCAGAATTATTTTGAAACTATCAGTCATTGTGTTCAGATACGTCTGTTCTTAAAAAGTTTTCATTGAATCTTTTAGGTTTCTGTTAAAATCTCGATAAACGATCATGATTAAGTTTACGGTAGTTGTTGTTAACGACCTTTGGAAAATATTCTCACACTCACAGATTTTAAAGTGGACTTTGCTTAGAGAGTAGATCATACACGACAACACTCCAACATTAATAATCTGTGCACACTAATATGAGATAGAGAAGATGCAAATTCAGGATAACTCTGTATTTCGGATAGAAATCAAAACCTGAAATGGAACATCTCTGTTTATACGGTAGCATCCAATGATCTTCGAACATAAAAATGTTACCGAACTAAAACCGATTAGATAATAGCAAGTATCATTATCCTAATTTGAATGGGGGAAATGTTATTTAGGTTACCCTTTGGAGAAAAAACCGGCATGCAACAACAAAATCTCGAAGGCTTTATCTCTAATTGGCCGGTCTAAAAAATTCTGTAGTTCAGATTAACCGTTGTTATATCCCATAGATTATACTTATCGCTGTTTCATAATTTTAGTTTACTTCTCATTATCTCATATGCTATTCTATTTTTAATGCAGATTGGAAACATTACATGTCTGATGTTGGCAAATCTCATAATCTACCTGTTTTATCAGTTGTAAGTGAAGAACAAATACGGTTATTTAATTTGCCTAATTTACACCTGAAATTTAAAGCCCGTATTACAGCTATTGATGGTTATCGTATTAAATCTGCTTCGGTAGTTGGATTTCGAGTACACGGAAAGATCAATTCAAAAGAATCCACTGGTTAGTAATTAGACATCATTTTTTGTTTGAATAATTTCTGTTTATTTTTTGCTGTCACTGATGTTGCGTAAAAGTTACGGTTTATTTACTTATTACTTTGTTCTTTATCTCCATTCTTTAATTTCTTAATAGCTGATTCTGCTTGTGTTGATCTTGAGCGTTCAAACGCAAGTGGTGTATCTGTAACATCGCATGCAGATCAAAATTGTGAATATTCATTTGTTTTTACAAATGTTGGCGGTCAAGCTATTGTTCTCAGTATGCCACAACTTCGTCGAATGGATACTTTACATCTATTAGATTCTCATGATGTTGTTGCGGTCAGTTCAGTTGTATTTTCTCAACCTGGTAGTACAAACGTAAATACTTCATGTTATGTACATGGACCTGCTCTCGGACTTTATCAATTGGCACCCGGTCAAGTATGTACATAATCTTTAAACGATTATTGATTTATGACGTTTAATTTGTCCTGAAGACTTACTAAAAGTCTATGCAATCGACTGAAATTTACTTCCTGAAGTTTGAATTTCCGTTATTACTAAAAACTTCCCGCATGAATGATGTAAAGTTCAACACTTGATCGTTTATCCAAACCGATTTGGCTAAATGAAAACGTCCGGGTATTACTTTTAAACCTGGTCACATCTATTATTTTGCTTTCTAAACTATCTGAAAATAATTCCTTGCAACTTCCCAGAAGCTATGGGACTAATATTCATGCTTTTTCTATCTGTAACGTATGAGATGATGAATAGTCCAAATATTTGAATCTATATATAATATTCTAAAGCTTATCTTTCATTTATATTGTTTTTTTTAAATCAGCCCTTTTGAACCACCATCTTGATAGAAAAATAAGTTTTTAGTCAAGTTCATCTGTAAGCGTTGGTCTTTTTCGTATGATTGTTTCTGAGATATGATACACATAGAATGAAACTAAACTAAATTTATAGAATGTTTATATCCCCAATATTGACACAATATACTAATATTAACTTTTCCGAAGAGATGTAAAATAACTTTTATGTTTGGTTTTTTATTTAGTGCACTCCTATAAAACAATAGATTTCTCTCAGTAAGAATCATACATTGCTGTATGTGCCCAAAAGTATAAGCTACTCCTATTCCATAGTGACCAAATATAATACACAATTTGCAAGTTGTAAATTGAAAAAAATTCCATACCGTCACAAAATGTCGACTAAATACTTTTCTCACTTGTAACTATTATTCATCCGTTTATTTGTTTTTTATTATCAAAAGCTTACACTTTTTGACGTTGTACGTACTGGACAAAAAGCCAGCCCACTCGGAGTATCTTATCGTCCTATATATCGACTATCTCTTATTGGCAATGCAAATGCAAACATGAAAACTTTATCCGAAAAAACAAACAGTGTTGGAGATAGTAGAATTGCTGATAGAAATGTTTTATCAAACAGTCATTTGCATAATGTATCACAGGCATCAACTGTATTCACTCCATCTGTACAAAACCAATCGAATTCTATGTCATCATCACATAATCTAAGTGATTCGGTAATAAATGGTCTCGTTTCACCTACTGTATGATGCGCAAGTGACGGAGTCAATTACAGGTATTTTTAATGTTTGATTTCTGAATTAACTATCTTACTTCTAGTGAAACATTTTATTTTGGATTAATTTTACTATTTTTCCCCATGAAGCTGTTTCTCATGTAAATTTATTCACGCGCACGTCTACCTACCAGGGTGACAAAATTTGTCTCAAAAATCCATTCTGTATTTATTTGCTTCGATTTCCTTTTGGAAATTTTACTCATAAATTTTGTCTCAGTAATATTCAAAGAATTAGTGATCTTTCGTTTAAAACCTGTTTTTATCTCAAACCCAAATCAAGTGAAACACCGCTGGAAAAGTATAAGCTTTGTACAAAACCGAGCAACTGTATTGTTTTAGTTTATAACTCCTTAGCAGTACTCACCTATGCGCGAACACATGGAATCGGTTCTAAGAAATCTGTTGGCCTTGCCACGAATGCAACATTTGCATACAATTGCATTGGTTGATATCCATGGTTGTATATTCGCTACTTCAGTCGCTTATTACGACGACCTAACCGAACTATATTGGCTAGAACGTCCTTTATGTCCCACCATGCCAAGCAGGTCGTTTGGAAAACGTTGAAGCTAAAAGAAACATCTTAGGGTCTGAGGATGAAGTGCTGATGGCAGCAGAAGGATGTGACAGAAGTAAGATGTTTCCGTCGGACAATCAGCGTCTGCGGAGATTCTACCTTCTCACAACTGAAGGAAGGGTATATAAATGGTCGACACTGAAAATGCCATATGCGGTCACGTTCCCAGGTCTCTGAGACCAAAACTAATTTACCTTCTTCAGGTTCCTCAAGAAACTCCCTTCCATGGTGTAGGCAACCGGGAAGTGACATCTGCCCTCATACTCTTGATAAAACACAACTTCATACTAGTGACAATCAAATTCTTCCTACACCTCTCAATAACTCTTATCTCCACGACCAAATCTTTCTTGATTCCTTTTCCACCTCGCGTAGCCCTGGTCCCTTGAAACCCTGCTCTAAACTAAATGTTTTACCTCTTAATGTTCAGACCTTTGCGAAATAAGGATTCTGGTTCTGAGTACGATGAGGAGCTGATGCAGCTTAAACAGTGGCTGGCAAAAAGTCTGCTCAATGATTGTGTGCAACGGTGGGTAGCGAAAGCTGAGGAACTGGATAAATTAGAGGCGACTGATAACAGTATAAAACTATTCGGACTTGTCAAGACACTGTCATTAGAAATCCGACTATTAGTGATACTCGGAAAAAGTCGGGATTACTTTTCATTCCCAGTCCACGAGATTGGGCCGATGACAGAAAATTTTCAGGAACATTTTAACTTTCACTCGGCTAATTCTCAACTACCCACCACCCGTAAACAACCTGAATGGCAAACTGATGCAAGTCCTCCAACTTTTAATGAGGTAAAAAAAGGCGTGAGGAAACCAGGTTGATTTCAGACCTGGATGTTGACATATAGACTAAATATTCACACTCTGGCAGGTCTAAAAACACAGACACAAATTCCGACGTCGGACAGTAGTTGTCTCAAGATTGGGTTACATCGGTACCTGAAATAGTGATAGGCAGTGAAGTAGTTGAGCGTGTCCACGGCGACACTTATCTGGAGAGTCTCATCAGTCCTGTTGGCCTGGTGTGTGAAGAATTCTCAGCACAGATACAGAAGGCTCGATTGTCTTTTGCCAAATTGCGTCGTCTATGGACGAGTCTACTGCGTATTATTCACTGTTGGTCAAATTCACAATCAAAAGCCTATGTATAGTGTAGTTGTTATGAGTTTTTCCATGATATTTATATATTTGCTACTACTACTACAACTACTACCAAATATTGATCTTATCTATTTACGTTGTTCGATGTTTTATTTATGAATTTCTGTATAGGAATCGTGCATCGTGAATAATCTAATTGATTGTTCAAATTATGCTAATCTGGCCAAACTATATACAACTTACCGCAAACATATCATGCTTTCCTTCTTCCTACATCATATCGGTTTGTTCTTTGCAATCACTGTTTTTACCATGAAATAATCTTCATTTCCCTAGGCTAACAATCTTGATGTATGGTTTATTCGAGAACTGTGACTGATTAATGCTGCGGGTCTTTTTTTTTTAACGAATCTAATATAATCTGTCCGTAATAAGTTTTTTTTTCTATGTGCTTTTCTTTTGCATGTATGTTTTTGTTTTCCTTCAATTTGTTTTTACCTGATGATGTTATCGCAATCATATTGCATTGCTTTGATTTTTGTTTTCATTATCTTAATAATTAATGTATGCACAGTTCTCAAACCACCAGGAAGAGAGATATGTACTTGCAGAATATACACTATGATAATAGTCTCTGGTGATATAAATACATATATTTATATTATCTTCGAAACCTTTAATACTACTATAATAAAATATGCAGTTGAATTTTTTTTCCCACCTGATTTGGTCCTTTTTTTTTATTTACGTTTGTTGTGTACTTGTAAACTTGACTTTACAGACAATGGAAAGAAGGTGCTTGTTTTTAAACAAATTGTTCGTTTCAATACTATTTATATCAATGGTTGATTTTAATTTATCCTTGTTTTTTTTTTCATTTGATTACACAATTCATCATTCATTAATGAATTAATATGGAACATTGTTTCAGCTATTGTATACACTTGTTTTTTTTCTTTTCTAAACGGATAAACAACTATAACTATTTCTGGTGAATAAAGTAAAAATATGCTTTATATTTCATACTTGTATGTGTTTCTATATTTTAATAAGAATTGTAAATTTTTATGAAACTTAATTAGTGTTCATAATATTAATTTAACATAATGAGTAGTTGAGTAAATTTTTTTCTTTTTCATATTAATTATTATAATACGTGTGTATTCAATGACACTAGTTTAATTTTGCTTTGTTTGATGAAGATTATTTCAATGAGACTGAAAAGAATTGAGCATATTCACAATATTAAAACAGTTTAAAAATGATGAAAATTTAACCTGTGTGTTGGTGCCAAATAAATTCTATAAAAAAAAGAAGTGTTTGTACACTTTTGTATGTGGTCGATATTTAGCGGAGTACTCATGTAAAGGCATAGGACATTAATCTCTCAGCTATGAATGCTGGAAAATCCAGTCGAAAGTCAGGAATATGTAAGATTCATTTCCAAATAACAAAGTGTAAAACTTTGCTTCAGTGCTTGTTTTAATAACTAGACGTGTACATAAATAGGTTATTCAGTTGACTAGCTTTTTGAGCGTTTCATTAGATATTTTGGCCTAAAAGTTGACATCAACCGATCATGGCTATACCACTTTGATTTTCGTCAGTTTATGCCCTATTTTAACAGGGAACTATCCAAACACAAGTTGAACGTGGAAATTTTGCTCTTCAGTTAGTTCTTGATCAATATTATTATTTAAGCTTCACAATTAAAAATAAGATGAATAAGAAGCGAATGGTAGCCTGTTAGGTTAGTAATCTCTTTAAAACAGTAATTAGTTAGAAGCTCAACAGATGTAACCGATCTAAAGAGAGGGTTAAACAATCGGTTAATCATAAAAAATCGTTACGTAACAATAAGAATTAAGTAAGTTCGAGATTAATTGATTAGAGACACTTAATACTATTTGTAACACTGACATTATGTAATTAATAAAACAAGTGGAAGGAAAATTTTATACCTACAGATCACGACTGTATTCCTTTCTTCTTTGATCAACAAAGAAGGGTGAGGTTCAGAAATACAGAGGCATTTACCTACGTAACTGATTCCACTAGAACATTTGAACTGGTAAATAAACATAGAGGTTGCAGAGCTAGGTTTCCGTTAAAGGTGTCTCATAAGATCTGCATTTGTCTTTGTTTTTTAGCACTATAAAAATGAAGTTTATGCAGTGACAATAAAATCCTAACTCACTACTTAATTACGCTTGTTACGCCTAGTGGAGCACAGCCACCGACCAGAATTCTCCAACCTATTCTGTCCTGGATCTTCATTTCTAGTTCTGTCCAATTTCTATTCATTCTTCTAATGTCTATCTCCGTCTCTCTGATAGATGTGTTTTTTAGCCCTCCTCTTTTCCTTTGGCTTTCAGGATGCTAAGTGAGGGCTTATCTTATGACGCGATTGGATGCTTTCTTCAGTGTGTGCCCTACCCACTTCCATCTCTTCTTCCTGATTCCTTCCTCTCCTGGAATCTGATTTGTTCTATCGCACAGTAGGTTGTTGCTGAAGGTGTCTGGCCAACGAATACGAAGTATTTTGCGTAGACAGCTGTTAATAAACACTTGTATCTTGTGGATGATGGCTTTGGTAATTCTCCAAGTTTCAGCCCCATACAGTAAACCTGCCTTGACTTTTGCATTGGAAATTCTGAATTTAATGTTGGTTGACAGTTATTTTAAGTCCCAGTTGTTTTTCAATTATAGAAATGCCTCCCTTGCTTTGTTAATCTGTGCATTCCCATCTGCATCAGATCCACCTTGCTCATTAATGAGACTGTGCAGATATGTAAAGGTTTTTACATCCTCTAAAGTTTCTCTGTCAAGTGTAATTTGGTTAGTGCATGCTGTGTATTATCGGAAAATCTCGCTTTCTCCTATGTTGAAGACTGCTGTTGCAGTGGCTGCTGTCTCACAGGCTTTATTCATCTGCATTTGTTTATGTGTGTGGGATAAAAGATCTAGATCATCCCTGCAATCCAGATCATTCCGCTATCTCCAAGCTGCCCTATTTATTCCGTGCTTCGCTTCAGATGTTGATGCCTTAATATTCCAGTCGACCATAAGGAGAAAGAGAATGGGTGAGAGTAAGCAATATCGTTTGACACTAGTCTTCAGTTCAATCTATTGTAAGAATTCCATATAACGTTGACTATCTAGTGTTCTTTATGCTCCCCCTATCCAGTATTTCCACACTGTTCCAATCGAACATATGTTCATAGTTTTCCGTATGTATTGATATAGTCATTAAAGGTGTACCAAAGAAGTACATTAACCTTATACAAGCTCTCTACTCGAACACTACAGGTCGAGTTAGAGCTTAATGGCGAACTGTTATCTGAATTCTCTACATCTAGTGGTGTCCGTCAGGGCTGTCCACTCTCTCCATTTCTTTTTAACTTTGTCGTTGATATGCTTTTAGAGTTAACATTAAGCTCATCAGATGACATAGTTCTATTCAATGAAGACGCTGACAAAATGCAGTCTTCTGACTGCCCTAAGCAACAATGCAAGCATGTTTGGGATGCGGTTTTCCCCCTCAAAATGCATAACGTTGCTTCGAGATTGGGTCGCATTGGTATCTGAACTAGTGATAGGGAGTGAAGTAGTTGAGGGTGTTGATCGCTTCACTTATCTCGGTAGTCTCATCAGTGCTGATGGCCTGGTGACTGACGAAATCTCAGCACGGATACAGAAAGCTCGATTGGCTTTTGCCAACTTGCGTCAAATATGGTGAAGGCGAGATATCCGTATGCTGAGCAAAGGACGAGTATACTGTGCAGCAGTTCGCTCCGTCCTACTTTATGGCTGTGAAACACAGCCATAGAAGAAGATATCCTTAAGTTACTGCTTTTAGATCATAGGTGTCTCCGAAAGCATAGTTCGTGTATCCTGGAACAACCGAGTAAGCAATACTGTCGTTAGGAAACGGGTCCTAGGTAAGGGTGGCAGATCATTAGATGAAGTATTGAAACTTCATCAGTTGAGATGGTTGGGACATGTGTTTCGTATGCCTAAACACCTGCTGCCTCGTCGATCTATGTTTTGTGATGTAGGGATAGGTTGGACGAAAGCTAGGGGCGGCTAGAACAAAACATCACATAAAGTCACTGACAAGTGGACTGAGCCATGTCGTTAGATGTAGTCTAACTGGTTGGGTTTCGCGAGATGATAATAATCGATGGTTAGAGACCCTGAATGTCATGGTTCAAAACCGTTTGCAATGGCACCGGTGTATTTGCTCTTTGTGATCTATGAAATTCTAACCTTCTGCAATAATCATCACCTCTACCTTTCTCTTTCTGATTTTACCTCACTGAATTATACTTCTTGAATAATATCTTCAAACCGTAATCTCTCCGATTACTTCTAATACTTCTACTACCTCTAATACTATGGGCTTTGAATTGACAATTATGTCTCTGTGCTAATGTGGTATGGCAACATGAACTACTGTACTTACGTGCAAAGTTCTACGTTTCTGTTGATGATGATGATGTATTGATTTAAGGGAAGAAATGTCGTGGCATTTGACTGCTTATTGATTTTCACACAAACGAAGCTGAAGATGACGTTCACTTTGTCCTGTGTAGTGTTTTTCACAGTCTGAGCCGTTGACTTTGTAGATGATATTTGGTTTTTTCTTCTATCATTTTGTCCTCCGGTCTACATAGGACTGATGGATGTGATTCTGTTGGTTGGTATGCTACACTCATTCCAAATGGTCTCAGTTGTGTTGTATGTCTTTTATGTATGGCAGGATGATCCGTTTATTGGTTTCTGCACTTCATTTCGCTTCTGTTGACGATTTCAGTTGATGTCTTTTGATGAAGTTTCGTGCATAACCGTTCTTTTGGAGGATAGTCATTAGATGCTTTTCCTCGTTTTTTAGTGCTTCATATGTGCTTCAGTGTCTCTTCGCTCTCTTAAACAAAGTTTGTACGCAGTCGATTTTTTGAGTTCCTTGGTTATTGTTACTGTATTTGAAAATTAGTTCTGTGTAGTTCGGCTTCCGAAATACTTGCCTTCAGTTTCCCTGTGTCAATTTGGGTGATTAGGATATCCAGAAATGATAGGTTGTTGTTTGATTCCTTTTTCATTGCTAATTTTATGTCCTCAAGGACGTTTTTGATCCGACTGTAGATGTTCTCCAGCTCGTTCCTTTTAATAGTGATGAATGTATTGTCTACATAGCGAACCTACACTTTTGCTTTGATCACTGGTAAAACCGATGCTTCTAGTCTTTGCATCACAGCTTCTTCGATGAGTCCTGATATTGATGATTTCATTGGTGTTCCTTTTGTTTGTTCGTAGATTCTGTTTTTGAATTGGAAATATGTTGTTAAGCACAAATCGACGAGTTATAGGAGACTCCTACGCTGAAGCTTCGTACATTTTTGGAGATTTATGTTGTTGCTAAGGATCAGGGATAGAGTTTCATTGGCTAAGCTTTGCTCTATTGAGGTTAAGGCTGTTACGTCGAAGAATATCATCATTTCGTCGTCGATTTGAATCCCTTGAATTTATCCAAGAATCGTGTGGAAGACTTAATGGAGTAGTTGGATGAATCCGCCTGATGTTTCAATATCCTTGAAATTTCTCTTGATAAGTTCAATGTTGGGGTTCCTGGAGTGGGTAGATTTGGACGTAGTGGAATGCTGGGTTTCTGTAGTTTCCGGTTTTTATATTTGTCCTGCTTTGACAAGCCTGTTTAGTGTCCTTAAAATTCGGCTGTCCAAATTTTTTATTGGGTTTATGTCGATTAGTTTATCTACGCTCCTGTTCTCAAGTAGTCCCTTGGCTTTCTTGATATATTCTTCTTTGTCCGCTAGAAATATGACTATATCATACCTGGTTCTGGGTTTCTTTAAGGCTTTTCATTGTCGTGCTGTTTGTTGGCTGTTGTCTCTCTTTTGCCAAGTTAGTGGTACTATGTTTTGTCTTATTTCTTCATTTATTCCGGCCGTTTTTGAATGATGACTCTAGTGCGGCGAAGAACTCGAGTTTCGGAGCGTCATTTGTGTTGTAGTTCAATCTTTTTTCGAGGAGGCATACTTCTGTTGTCGTTTTTACAACAGGCTGACCACACAATTATTTGAGTTATCTTCTATGAGTGACTTTGAAATCCCGGTTAGTTTATCTTTGAGGATGTTCCCTCTTTGTTTTCTGTGTCGTCTGCTTGACATCTCGATCGCCTTCATCAATGTTGTTAAGTGTTTTGATGTGAGTATTCTCTCTAATTTTCTGTTTTGCTCATCCATGTTGTGTTGGTATTTGTGGATCCTGTAGTGTGCATCGATGATCATTAGT